TTGTAGGGTGGCACACAGCAGTCAATGTCCCAACATCCTCTCTCATTTTCACCTTGAGAAAGACACAATCAACTTTCCAGGGTGATTGGACCTGTCCTGACTTTGCCTAGTTGGCCTGACCTGGGTCCTAAGGCTACGCGTAGACCAGCTCTTCTGGTCTAGGAGATGGCATGGACGAACTCCTGGCATTGTTCCAATATGGACCAGTTGGTGGGTGAGTCACAAGGGCAAGGATCATTCCTCAACAGAGAATGGAAGGCGTTACATATCATAAGACATGATGGCGGCCGGGGAAGTGCTAGCACTGGCTAGAACCCGATGCCCTGGATCAAGAGTGTACAGAGAACATCTCAGAAAGTATCCAAAATGCAGAGTTCCCCCACCTCCACCCCCGCTCAGGCTTCTGGTAGGGTCCACATCACCTACTGAAAGCAGCTGGTGATGGAAATGTCCCTGGGATGCCCATGACCCGTATGGCACCTTGAGTTATGGAGGGCACCGACTGAAAGCAGCTGGTGATGGAAATGTCCCTGGGATGCCCATGACCCACATGGCACCTTGAGTTATGGAGGGTACCATCACTAGTGTCCTGCTGCTGGAGGATGTTGGAGACACAGTGGAATCCACCCAGCTTGATTGAGTCTGTTCTTTAGGCCACCTCTGAGGGTACTGTGTAGGGCTCCTTTGAGAAAACCTTTCCTTTTTCTTCTGCACCTTTAGGCAGGGCTTCTTCCCAGAGCTGTGTCCTACACCCTGTCCCAATGTACTTAGGTAGGTGGTATAACACATTGCAACACAGCTTTGCCTGCTTTTTTTTTCTCCTTGAACTTCCCAACAAGTGTCCTGTGGGAAGGTGGGACTCCCCACCACTCTGCTGTAAGGAGGGCAGGATAAATCCCTGTCAGCCAGTGACAAGGGTCTCACTTTCCTGCAGCTTCCTCTCTCTGCTCATGAAGGAGCTGCCAGAGAGACTGACAGTGTAGAAAGAGCTAAGCCACCAGCTGGTGGGGACTTAGCGCTCCTCCGAGTGCCGAGCACTACACCTGGTCCCCTTGGGCAGGACCCAGGAAAGAGAAAGACGTGAAGACGTCGGCCCTGCCCACTACCATCCACTTAGGGAGACCAGAATAACCCACATGCAACCGTGGGGGAACAGACAAGACAGGGTTATAATTAAATGCTAATTTGAAGGTCTAGAAGTGAGGTTGGAATCCAGAGCGGAAGAAATTGGAAAAGGCTGGGAGAGGAGACGAAGGCTCTTTGGAGAAGGTGGCACCTGATGGAAGTTTTGAAAGATCGGCAGGAGTTGGAGGAAGGCAGGGACACTTTAGGCCAGGGGAATGTCAGTCCCACACTGCCTGCCTCCCATCTAAGAGCATCCCTGGGACACTGTTTATGTTGGGGCCTGCGATGTCATGGTGGGTAAGCTCCTGGCCTGCTGAAAGGGACTAGATGTTTACCGAGCCTCCAAAACTGGTAACGGCGGTGATCAGAAATCTTCTTTGGATAGCAATTAGGTTGGAGGTTTGGTTCTGTTTTTCTTTTTCTTCTTTTCATGTGTATGTGTGTTTGCGTGCACACGTGTGTGTGTGTGTGTGTGTGTGTGTGTGTGTGTGTGTGTGTGTGTGTTTGTGTGTATTTAGTGTGTGTGAGTGTGTGTGTGTATTTAAAAGTTCTTCAGGTCAATAACAGGATTGTTCACTAGCCTCCTGCTGGGGACAGGACCATGGAAGTGAAGGAATGAAGATCCACTGTTGAGAAACAGACATGGCTGGGCTTGGAGTCCTCTCCACAAGAGGGGTGGACTGCCTATGGGGCAGGAAGCCTCAGGCAGGGGACAGCTCTAGGTTGTTGAACAAGGGACTTTTTTCTGGACGTCAAGGAGAGGAGTCAGATAGGGTGAGAGAGAAGGGAAGGCTGTTGTTGATACAGAAACGGACAGTCAGGGAAAGGCGTGTGGAACAGCAGAGGGTGGGAAGCGAGGTCACAGTATCCGGCAGGACCAAACGGACTATGTCCCTATGGGCACTTCCCAAGCTGGTGTCAACATTTGAAAGAGTTGTCAGGGGTCCCACTGAAGGAAGAAAGGTCATCAGCAGGTGTCATTCCCTCACGAGTGTCCTGCCCTGCAGCATCTCTTGTCCTTTGATGAGATAGCAATGGCAGCTGCTCAAATGTCGCTTTCCTTGACAAAAATGAAAGATAGGTGTGCTGTGCTGGCTGGTCTTATGCCAACTTGACACACAAACTAGAGTCATCCGAAAGGTGGGAACCTCGATTGAGAAGATGCCTCCATAAGATCTGCCTGTAGGGCATTTTCTCAGTGATTGATGCAGAGGGCCCAGCCTATTGTAGGTGGTACCATCCCTGGACTGGTGGTCCTGGGTTCTACAAGAAAGCAGGCTGAACAAGCCATGGGGAGCAAGCCAGTAAGCAGCACCCACCCCTCCATGGCCTCTATATCAGCTCCTGCCTCCAGAATCCTGCCCTGTTTGAATTCCTGTCTTGACTTCTTTCAATGACGAACAGCAATATGGACGTGTAAGCCACATAAACCCTTTCCTCCCCAGCTTGCTTTTTGGTCACGGTGTTTAATCACAGCAACAGAAACCCTAACTAAGACAGTAGAATTCCTGTGACTTTAAAAGAAAAAAACTGAAGTAACCCACAAAGTTGGAAAGTCTTACAATAGCTGGCCTAGGAACACAGAAAGAAGAAGAGGCCAGCCCGGGAAGGGGACAGTGGACAGTGTCCCTGTGGATTCTGTTCTTTATACTTGGGTTTTTCATCCACACAGCAAATACTTCCAGGCCCTGGAATGTGTGCATCTTACTTAGTCTGGGCCAGGAACACTTTTGAGGTCCAGAGCTATTCTTTGAGGCCTTGTGTTGTTCGGAGGACTCTGGGTCAGTACCCTCTGGTGTTTTCAGGGAGGTGCTCTCCTATCTATCAGAGGCCTGTCCTCACACATGGAGCTTCTCCAGGGTAAGCAAAGGTGTGGGGCATGAGAGACCGGGAACTCAAGCCGACCTCCTGTCTTAGGACCTCCACACTGAGGAGACGTAGGCAGAATCGGCGGAGAGCCTGTTTGTGTCTGTGGTCAGAGAAATGATCACGGGGCTTCAAACATGAGCCATGAAAGTACTGCGGGTAGACAGAGCCCAGTGGACTAAGGGATGATACCATTTCATCAAAACAGGGGCCCGAATGAAATGGCCACGTGGCCCCAAGTCATCGCTCCCTATTTCCAAGGGCTGCAGGGGATCACCGGTGAATTTGGTGTGCCAAATGCCTGTGTGCCTGTAGGTGTGGCAAGATATCTGTACCCAGAAGAAGCAGAAAGTGACATTTCTAACAGAGAAGAGGCATGTGCCATTGGGAGAGCCAGAGAAAAGTCTGGGACTCACTGTGTGTGGCTTTTGAGAAGTCCATTTGTAGGAACCGCCTAACCAATGGTCCCTGCCTCAAAGCGCTGTCTGGTTCTGTCAGTGTGTTGTGCAACCTGGGCTCAGGGCTGAGGTGGGTGGGATGTCATAACGAACATCTCATGCCTGGAGGCTTGGGTTTGAATCTTGACATTAATTTCAGTCAGCGCTCCGTTACGCCAGCTTCCAGAGGTCAAGCTGGTTCCAGGCAGGCCAGTAGCCAAGCAGAAGAGCTGGTGTAGGTGTGAAGCTGGGGCTGGCATTTTCCTGGCTCTGCTCTAGGCACCTGAAAGCATAGGAGTCCCGTAGACTCCTGTCCTGCCCCCACACCAGGGTGTGTGTTGTAATGGCGTGAGTAAGGTAATAAGCCTTATTTTAGTATGAAATACACCGTGCACACAAAAAGAACCTGGCAGATCGGAGATGTTGTCAGGCAAATAAATGGCTAGTTAGCCTGCAGTGTGACCCCATTAGAGCAGCTGCCCTTCCCACCTGGAGGAAGAAATGCAAAGGCAGAGAAAGGAGAACGTTTGCCCTGTTGGCTTCTTCAAACTGCCCACGCAGCACATTTAAAAAGCATTCATACCCCCAGTTGGAAATTAAGATTTTTCAAGTAAATCCACCAACAACCAATGTGACAAATTCTGTACCAGAGGCGCAGGATCCCTAAGAGTTCCAGGAAGCATGACAGCCAGTGGCAGCAGACGCAAGGCACTTTCCCTGCCTTGGACCACAGCACTTAACTTTTATGCTGATTACACAATTATTATTCAATGTTATTTAACACCTGGAAAGCTGATTTGACCTGTTCAGAGGGCAGACAGTGGGATGGGGCGTGCCAGAGCGGTTCACAGTCTTTAATGGACTTTCAAACTGCTGCCTTGGATCAAGGAGGTAATAAGGAAGAATAAACAAACAACAACAAAAACAAAAAAACTTAAAACAACCAACAGAAAGGGCCGGAAACTCAATAGGCTCCTACCTCGAGTAGGCAAGACAGTAGGCACCCAGGGATAAATATTTCTAGCGGGTAAAAGCCAAGAAGATAAGCACCAGGTAGGCTGCACCTGCATCTCTTAGCTAACCTCTGAAGAATGCAATAGCAGGTTCCTGTTTATACACACCTCCAGCCGAGGAGCCAGCAGTTCCGTGGGCGGGCTCCGCGCTCCCTTATATGGGGCCTCTCACCCAGCTTTGCACCCTGTATTTCACTTTTGGGCAATCTACAGAGACTGCTCGAACCCGGGCTATGAGTGCGCACAGGCAGCTTTTCTGTCACTTGGTACCTCGAGATACACCCCTGGACCTCATCTCTTTGCTCCCTCTTGCTCTCTGTAAGGACTGAACTCCAAGCGAGCTAAGCCAGGCACAGAATGACAACTACCCTGTGTTCTCTCTTTTATGCCGATCCTGGATCCTCCTTTCTCACTGTTAAATGTGTATCTAGGTGGGAGCAAATGTGGATAAAGGCCAGGAAACTAGAAAGGGGTCCTTGAGACGAAGGGGGGGGGGTTGCTTTAAAGGAAGTGGTGGGAATGACAATCTTGGGAGCAAGAAGAAAAGGGGGCACTGGAGCAAGGGACATGGAAATGGGAGGGAGGAGGGGATGAGAGTCAACTACAGAAAAGCATGGCTGCCATTGCCATCCGAGAGCCTGTTACTGTAAGCTAATTAAATAAACAAACACATGCACTCTAAACATAGAAGACCTGCAGACTTCCTCGCGCGCCTATAACGCAGGTATGTTCCTGAGTCCTCTTCGTTGTCTCCAGAATGTTTGGCTGCCGCCTAGGATTGTGCTCCTGTGTGCTCAGCTTCTCCCTGCTTGCCCTGCCCCCACATCCCCCAACCCACCGGTCCCCACCTCCGCATCCGGCAGGAGCCGGTCCTGTCCTAAGGTCCCACCGTTGCTGCACAGATGGGTGTAGGCGGGAGCCAGGCGGGGCAGGCAGGACGCGCGGCGGGGCGTCTGGGGAAGGGTTGGGGTGGGGGAGGGGAGGGGAGGGGAGGGGAGGGCGCCCAGCTGCAAGGCAGGTGCTGCTGTCTCCAGAGGCGTGGGTGCAGCTAGAAGACAGCTTTGCATGCCCCACCAAGGCCCCTTAACCCCATGTCCCCACTCTTCCCTCTGTCACTGAGCCTCAGCCACCTCCCCAGGAGCGGCTTCCACTCCCGAAGGAGGGTGTGCCAGGGCTGCGCCTGGACAAGAGCTGGGTGGACCCCTTCCACTCCCCCACGACGCCAGCACTGCGCCAAGAGCTGTTGACACAGGTGACCAGCTCTAAGAGTCCTGTCAATTCAGAGCCCACATTTTAGGGCTTCATGAATGCTGGGCCTTTAAGCTCTGGACGGCGATGCGGAATGGCGCAATCACACTGTGGGCCACGCTGCTGCAGGCAGGGCCTGGCAAACACATCCTGGGGTAACAGGTGCCCTTGGCCGGACACCATCTTCAGTCCTGCTGGACAGTGTCCACAAGGCATCTAAGCACGTAGGATTTTCGAGCTCCCTCATGCCCTCTTTGGCCCTGGCAGGCCACTTACGCAATACCCATCTCCCAGCCAGATCTCCCAAGCAAGCAAGCAAGGGAACTGGGCTGGAGTTTGAACTTGTAGGTTGAAGTTTAGCTGCTTCAGCCACTCTTCTCGGGGGGGCTGCTTCTCACAACTGCCTCCCCCCAGCAGCGCTCTCCCTTCTTTCTATGTGTCTGGTGGATGGTGGGTCCAGAGGACTGGCCCGCAGGCGCAGGCAGCGGCGCCTGCACAGGCCTCCGCAAGCCTTTGAAGGGCTTGGGGCTGGGCGGGTTGGAGGAGTGTGGGCCCAGAGCCCCTGTGAGCACACTTCACTTTCATTCTCTCTCGGATGCCTTCATCAAGATACCTCATTCTTCGATGTTTCCTGCTCAGAAATCTTTGAATCGCGGTTCTTTGTCCTGACAGCAGGTGCGCCGGAGCTCTAGGAAGGCGGCACATTTAGACGTCCCTGGGTTACTCAGCTCTGCTCCAAACCACAGAGGATCGTTCGCTCCTCCAGGGAGAGCCAGTGATGTGGGATGGAGAGATTCAAGTCCAGAACACCCACTGACATTACTGTGCTCGTGGACCGGAGAGTCTGTCTTGTTCAGGAGCCAGGAAGCCAAGCCCCAGCTGTCCTCACCACACATGCCCTAACCTAAGCGCTGTTCTTTGCCATGACTGCTAGAGCTAAGTGCATTACCGCACTCCCCCACCCCCATTGTCCCTGTTAGGGCGAGTGGCGATTGTGCATTTGGGTATAGGTGAAAGTATTAAACTCATTGCTGGGGATGGGAGGAGAGTAGGGTGTTTTTTCCCATCAACCTTATAAAATCTGTTAATGGACAGATCTTGAAAGGACTGCTCATTTTCGGTCTCGGTAACCCCTTCTTTGTATGTTTTCAGACAAGAGGTGGTGGCTGAGGATATACTGCTTGTCCAGTTTGGTTTGGATGAGGCACTGGGGTAAGCTTCCTTCTCACTGGTAATGACTCGCAGCAAGGCATGCACAGACTTTAGCCAGTGGCCTTTCCCCGTTAGGCACTGGCCTGAAGATGCATTCCTGCTGCCCACAGGATGGATGTTGGACTCAGCAGGCTTCATCCTGGAATTCTTACAGGGGGCCCAGGGGGCCCTTCACTGAGAATGTCCCTCAAGAGGACCTCAAGAGCCATTAACTCCCGTGGTGTCCATACAGGAAGTGCATGATTCCTCTGTCACAGACCCAGTGGCTCAGGGATGAAGACATATGACAGTCCTTGGGCATCTCAAGAGGGAACACTCACTGCACGTGCCTGGCATACTGCTGTATTGAATGGAGGGAAGAATGAGTCATAAAACTCAGGGACGGCAGTGCCGTGAGGGTTAATTCTTTTTGTGCCTCAGTTTCCCTCCTTTGCCAAGTGGGGCGTATAAGAGTATCAGCCACATCGAATCAGTGTGAGGAAGACATGAATCAGTAAACCTCTTCAGAGCAGAGTCCGGTAGCAGTCAGTGTGACGTGGGGACCCCTGGCCCATTCATCACACAGTTGGGTCATTTGGCTGACCCATGGATCCTAATCCAGCTGTTGGTGTGACTAAGAGTTTTCTTTAAAGAGACGGAGAGAGGGAAAAAGAGAGGGGAAGACTGAGAAAGAGAGGGAGAGGGACAGTGAAAAGAGGCATCTGGAAAGACAATGTAATTAATCTACTTCACTGCTAAATCAAGGGGAAGTCACTGGCTAATGTGTCCTCCAGGGTTCCCAGTTCCTTAGCTGGATCCATACTGGAATGACCAGCTGCTTTCAGACGGTACGACATGGTGAGACCGGAGGAAACTGGATTGGCACAGGACTACCGTCAAGTTTTGCTCTGGCAAAAGCCCTACTGAAGGCATGGGTTGGGCTTTGGTCAGCACTTCCTGCTTCAACGTTATATAAAATTCAATTTCAGATTATCCGCCGAACTACCCCTGAGCATCCAGGAATATTGAAAAAGAATAATCATAATAAAAAAGTTCTGTCTGTCTGCTCAGTCTGAGTATCTGAAAGTGGCATGGCTCAAAGGGAAACCTCTGGAACAGAGAGCTGAAGCCAGGGCTGTACAAGGGTTTGTGGAATGCTCTGACCAACGTGGGTGCTGGCTGGCGAGTCAGGCTGGGATGCAGCCAGCAGGAAATGCGTGAGCAGCCCCACGGGGCTGCACCTGCTCACCCTTGGAACGCCTCCTGCGGTTGAGAGCATCTCGGGTCAGATCCTTTCTGGAATTCCTTCCCACGAAGACCCCCTGATCGTTCTTCTGAATGGAGGGCTCCAAGGAGTGGGCTTGGGACTGCGTGCTGACTCTGTGTGGTGATTGGAGAGGGCGCTGCAAAGCCCTGGTCCCTCTAGCATCTGTCTCCAGCTTTAACGCCCCACAACTATGCTGCAGACTGGGTCCAGGAGAGATGGAGGTGGTCTGGCGTGTTTCTCTAGAGATGGAAATGGTACCTGCTGAGTCATTCAAACTCTTACCAGATGGCTTTTGTTAGCAACCATTTGTATTCCCCAGACACTTTTATAAATGCCAGCCTTTCTTAGCCCTTCCTTCTCCACAGAACACCCCCCTACCCCCTCACCCCCCCACCCCCGTCTGTGGCCATCACAGTCCTGACTCGTCTCCCCTCTGACGGTGTGCGAGCATGAGAGCTGGCAGCCTCGGAAGGTTAGGTGGCAGTCTTGCGATTTCTTCAGGGGCATTTGACAGTGACACAAAGGAGACAGATCCAAAGGGCAGTTGCTGTTTATGCCGTGACCATTAGACCAGGTCCCTCGGAAGGGCTTCCTCTTCTTATCTGCCATCATCATAGCAACCGGTTAGGACAGCATTGCCCTGTGTAGATAAGAGCCTGCTGAGAGGGGAGGTCATTCTGTTGTAGCTCAAGAGTTGGAGAAAATACTGACACTTTTGGGCACCGTGCTCTTACTCTTCTTGCTATTCTGGTTTTTTTTGAAACCCGGTCTCAAAGAACAACAGGCTGGCCTGGTACTTTATAGGTTGCTAAGGATGACCTCGAACCCCTGACTCTTCTGTCCCTACCTCCCAAGTTCTGGGATTATAGGCCTGTTCCATCATGTCAGACATTGGCGGCCAGTGTTCTATGCATGCTGGGTAATAGCTCCAATCCCTCCGTATCCCTTGCTACCATGATTTCCCCGTGAGACTTGCATTTGTGTCCGAGTCAGTCTGGCTGGGACTGAGGAGGATAATGGAACATACCACTGTCAAGGAAGACATGTAACGGGCTCCCTGGGGGATCGTCTTGATCTTGGTCAGGTTGAAGGATGTTCGACCTGTCACATGTTACAGCTGTGAGGCTGAGAATGGCGTGGGGAAGTGTCATGGACAGAACGGTGGAGAGAGTCTTGACTTCAGGCCTGGAGAAGAGCTAGTCCTGAAGTAGGCTGTGCTCTCTGTTACCCTTGAATTAAACAAACCCAGAGAATGAGAGAGAGAGAGAGAGAGAGAGAGAGAGAGAGAGAGAGAGAGAGAGAGAGAGAGAGACAGAGAGAGACAGAGAGACAGAGAGACAGAGAGACAGAGAGACAGAGAGACAGAGAGAGACAGAGACAGAGACAGAGAGAGAGGTCTGAGGGTGCCCCAGACCATGTCTTCACATGATACACTTGTTTGGAGAGTCAAGGGGGGTTCCCACTGAAACCTCCCCCATGTTGGGGAAGCAATCCTAATTGTGGGTATCTATGTCACAGCAGTGGGGGCTGCACAGCAGAAAATGAGTGACCACTATCTGACCCTGGGAACTAACATGAAGTAATGGGTGATGTTGGTGATGCAAGGAAGGTGGCCAGTGAATAGCTGGAAACGAGTCACAGAACAAAAGGATCGGTAGTAGGGGCAGGCAATATGGCGGGGCAGGTAAAGGGCTTGCCATGCCCACCTGCAGACCTGGTCACAGCCTGGGAACCAGCGAGAAAGTAGAAGGAAAGGACCCACTCCACAAAGGTGTCCTCTGACTTCCACATGTTAACCATTGCACATGTGCCCCCGATACACACATGTGCCTGCACACACACACACACACACACACACACACACACACACACACACATACACAGGCACGCAAGCAAGCACGCACGCATGTACATGTGCGCGCACACACACAAGAACCTATACAACAGTAATTTTAAAAACGAGAAAGGACTGCCAATATCTAGAATTGTTGACTTGCACAAGCTTAAGACAACAAAGGGAATCTGTTACAGGGCCCACTTTGTCTATGAAAGTGGAAGGCAGTTTCCACCTACAGAAAGAGGCCAGTGGTATAAGCGGGGAAGTCAGGTTTGGTTCACTTAAAGTAGATGCCAGAGTGTAAGAAAGGTGTCTAATATTATAGAGCAGTGATTCCCAAGCATGGCTGTGTATTAGAGTCATCTGGGAGACTTAAGCACTTCCCGATGCTCAGACTGGGCCTCGAATAGCATCTCAGGGAAAAAAACCCCCATCAATGGTTCCAATGAGTCCACAGGAGTCTCCAGTGTTTATCTGTGGCATCTCGCCTTGGTTGGAAACATGGGAACTGAGTACTAACCTGCAAGAAGATATTGACCCCTCCCTTCACCCCTGTGTAACAAGAACAAAGCCCAGCACTTTATAAAAAGGATTTTTTTTTTTGAAAAAAGCAGTCAATAGTAATTTTAAAACTCAGGGGTTGGGGATTTAGCTCAGTGGTAGAGCACTTGCCTAGCAAGCGCAAGGCCCTGGGTTCAGTCCTCAGCTCCAGAAAAAGAAAAAAAAAAAAACCTCATGCACATTAAGAATAGAGGGGGAAAGGTGAGCTGGGGAGGTGGGTCCCTCGGTAAAGTGTTTGCTGGGCAAGGGTGAGGACCTGCACTTGATCCCCATCACCCACATTTGTAGCTAGAGTTTTCCTGCCTGGCCCACAGTCAGGACAAATCTCTCTCACCTGCCAGTCCCACAGCCGTCAGACCCGACCAAGTAAACACAGAGACTTGTATTGGTTTCAAACTGTATGGCCATGGCAGGCTTCCTGCTAACTGTTCTTTCAGCTTAAATTAATCCATTTTTATAAATCTATACCTTGCCACATGGCTCGTGGCTCACCGGCATCTTCACATGCTGTTTCTCATCGTGGCGGCTGGCAGTGTCTCTCTCACTCAGCCTTCCACTTCCCAGCTTTATTCTCCTCCTTGTCCCGCCTACACTTCCTGCCTAGCCAATGGCCAATCAGTGTTTTATTTATTGACTAATTAGCAACACATTTGCCATACAGAACATCCCACAGCACTTCCCCCATTTTTTTTTCAAAAAGGAAGGTTTTAACCTTAACAAAGTAAAATTACATATAATTTGGGAATTTGGGCGTAGCTTCTCTTACTACTTCCTGCTGGAGGGGGGCGCTGTATCTTATGGGGAAACAAAGAAAATTTTAGGATTATGGAATAGTCCATGAGGCTGTATCATCTGAGCCAGTTGCCTTCAAACAGTTCTAGATGTTGGATCATCTGGGCCATGGTGTCATCGGAGACCTTTCAGGTGGTCTTGGCTGGTCAAACCTGATGTGTCTTAATCTGGAACAAATCCATAGCCTCTGGCTTTCTGTGGAAACAAAAGCAGAGTCTCCTTTCCAAAGTAACATATCCTTATATTCAAATTTTGAAGTCAAGATACCTTTAAAATATACATTTTGGCGTAACTCAACAGCTTTTACAATGAAATGTTTTTCTGCAGTTAAAAGTCCCAAAGACAAGACAATGCAGATTCTCTGTGTAATATCCATTTTTACGTGGCTTATTTTTTATACTACCTTTACTGTTTCTTTAAAGACTTTATTTTTTAAAACTATGTATTTGTTTCTATAACTCTATACACATTAAAAAATTGAAAAGCAGGGTATGGCAGTTTGTGTGCGTAGGTCACTGGTTCTCAACCTCCCTAACGCTGCAACCCTTTAATACAGTTCCTCCACCATAACACTATTTTGTTGCTACTTCATGCCTGTAATTTTGCTACTGTTATGAATTGTAATGTAAATAGCTATGTTTTCTGATGGTCTTAAAGGGGTCATGACCCACAGGTTGGATTAAATCCAAGAACTGAGGAGGTGGATCCCTGGGGCTTCCCAGTTTAGCCTAGCCTAATTGGCAAGGCCTAGATTCAGGAGAGAGAGTGAGAGAGAGAGAGAGAGAGAGAGAGAGAGAGAGAGAGAGAGAGAGAGAGAGACTGACTTACAAAGTAAGGTGGATAGTGTCTGAGAAACATCTGAGGCGGGTTTCTGACCTCTGCATGTGTACCTGCACACATACACACACACACACTCACACACTCATTCACACAATTCTGACTCACATACATACACCACTCACACACTAATGCACACACTCAACCACTCAACACACACCCTCACACACTCATTCACACAATTCTTTCTCTCTCTCTTACACACACACACACACACACACACACACACACACACACACACACACACACACAGGGGTGGGGTAGGAGAGAATGTTCTTCAAGACCAGCTTATTGTTGTTCATTGCTAAGGAAACCCAGTGTTTTGTACCCGACCAGGCTGCATTTCACGCCCTGTTGGAGCTGCCTCTGTGCTCAGGAGGGCAATGAATTTTACAGCGCACAGTGTGGAGGTGGCAGTTCCACTCACTCTGAAACCGTGTCAGATGCCACAGGTGTGGCAAGCCAAATCTTTTAATACCATTTCCACTCCTGGGAATTAAATTCACTCTCTGTGAACAGGGATTCATAAATCCCGGCCCTGCCTTCAGAACGGCGCTATGATTTCACCGGGGTGATAAATTGCTCCTATCAAAACAGACATCAAGTCTCCCAGGGACATAATGGGCTCCCACGGTACAAAGTGTCACGTCTTAAGCGCTTATGATCAAGACCGGTTGTGAAGAATTGAGTCTTGGGAAATCAGCGAGAGTATTTTTTTTTTTTTTCCTCTGAGACTCTTAAGTTGTGAGAGGTACAGAAGTGTGGATGAAAAGGATGTGATTGAATTTAAAGAAAAAAAAATCTACTGTAAAAATGCTCTTCAGGGCCCATCAGTTGTGAGCCGGAGGGTGAGGCTGGGGTTTGCGTGGTTGGGGGAGAGCTGTAGGGTTAGCTTTTCCAGTCTCCCTGGCTAAATGTGAAATGTGGGTGGGTGAGGAAGTATGCTGTCAGGGAAGGTGATTTATGGAGGCCTACAGGCACTCCCAGCCTGAGAACCCTGCCTGATGACCGACCTGAATTGCCTGCTGTTCCCCCAGAGCTGAGGGGCACAGGCAGAGGCCCCAGTGACAGAAATCCAAGGGTCACCTGGAAAGAGAGACCCATTAAGCCATGGGAAGCTCTCAGCCATTTATCTTAAACCACGCCCCCATAGCTGGCCTCTGGCACTGACCTACCAGCCAGTGGGAGAATGGCTATCATTGCTGCTTACTTCTTCCTCACTTCTCACTTCCTATCACTTAGGCTCTTGACTTCGCCGGAAACGGTGCAGCCTCTTTCCCGAGTCATACTCAGTTCCGGCTCACGGACTGTATTGGATGCGTTCTCTAGGACTCA